CTGGGAGCAGAGATGAGATGGAACCCCAACTTTTCTCTCTTCCTCTGGAAATCCCAGTGCTCAGTGCATTGTAAAATCTAACTCATCCTTTTCCCATTCCCTAGCAGTAGTGATCCAGGTTCTGCTCAACAACATAAGATGGCAAGTCAGCATCACCCATTTTCAGTCATTTGCTCCAAGCTGGATTTTCCATGGACTACATTTAGAGCTCTTGCTGTTTTTACTGGTGCTCAAAGCAATAGACACTGCACCTGTAACTACTGCTTTCTGTTGGATGGTGTTTGTTGGCTCTGATCAACTTTCCATTTACCATCCAGGAGCTCCACAACAGCATCCCAACTTGCTGCACCAGTAGTGAAGAGTAGGACTCACATGTTATTTGGCAGTTCCCATCTCCCTACTGTTTATACTGGGAGATAAGCAGAGAGAATAATTTTTAGCAAATATACCAACTTTTTAAACACTGCAATACCTTCTGACCACCAATTTTAGGCTCTAGCTGCTATTCATAAAGAACTGATGAACAAACCTTCCTATTAAGGAAGTTTATATTATTGGTGTTGTCTTGCTCCTGGATAGTCCAATGGTAACACAATTAACTGGAGATGTGACTTAGTAAAGGGTTTAAAGAAGCCCACAGGACCTGAAGCCACTGGTGTGTGGTCAAATCTGTCCAAGGTATATTTTGTTGCTCACAACAGCAACACAGGAGTTATATTTCAAAGCACTGACATTCCCTCACCCTGTATATTTACTAAATAATTTAAAAGCTAGGATTGTCTCTTCACTGCAACATGAATTAACTTCTTGTGCTATTTGCTAAGGGAGGAAAAATATGAAGAATGCTAAAAGGTGGAAGGATGTGCTAGCTACAGCAGTTCCTCTGGCACATAGGATTTAGAGCAGATAATTTCATAACACTGAAAGGTCATGTAAATATCAGTCTGGAAGAGATGTGGAGAGACCTAACTTTGTAGAAGATGAGTCTGAAGCATGTAATATATTGTCTTTTGTTCACCACTGGGAAACAGGTGATCCTAGAAGCAAATCTTAAACTAATTATTAGTTGCTACAAGTTGATGCTGACAAGTATGATATGGAGAAGTACAGCTAGCAAAGTTATGACATAAGAAAGGTGAGAAACAAGATTATGTCACAGGGTGTCCAGCGTAGAGATAGCCCCTCCACCTTTGAAAACTTGGATCAAGGACAAAATGAATACTTCAGAGCCCTCAAAAGATAACAGAGAGGAGTCCCAGGCACCAAGGTATGTTATCAGCACAGGAAACTGGAAAGCACAACATATGAGTCAATGAAGCAGGGGGTATGGCTTTTGTTTGGGCTGAGCCCCCAACAACATTCTTCTACACCACCAACCCACTTCTGAGGAACTGTTTGCACAGTATTTTGGTTAACTTTGGAAGCTGGTTATATCTTCCTGGGATCTACATATCTTGCACTAACTACTATTGACCATTTTAGACAGCCATTTTTACTGTGACTTTTAAATCAGTACATAATACTAGCAATATTAGTAAGAGGAATCTCACCAAGGCACAAAGAACATTTTGGTCAGTCAGGTTGAATTAAGCTCTTGATAAAGATTGGTTTATAGTATGATCCCATACTTCAAATAGTTTTAAGCTAAGAGACCCAAATGTCCTTTAAAGGTGTCTGGACCCTATACAGACTTTCTAGGTAAAAGGGAAACTGTACTAGGAGAAAAATACATTAGTTTTGACACCTTAGAAATGGAGGTATATGTAAGGGAGAAAATTAAGAAACCCACAAAAAAAAAGTTCTTATGCTGCTTTAGGTCCTGGAATTCCACATACTGGTATTTCAGAAGGAGCAGGTGGGGAAAACACAATAAAGATTGAGCTACCCTACAGAAATTACTCTTCCAGGCATTTCTGCAGAAGATGCAGGAAGTAAATTAGTTGCTAGCTTTGAGAGGATGCAGGATCCTTATTGGCAACACAATGGCAAAAAGGAAGGAGGAGATAAGTGTGAGAACCACTGAATTGCCGAAGATCAGCGCTTCACTCTTCTCACCTTATTATTTGATGAGAGTAAAACCAGACACTTTCATCAGATGCAGCTTCAAAGTTGCAAAACCACAACCAAAGTTAAAGAGTAGCCTCAGTTGAATGGGAGAGAGGGGAGAAAGTGTGATGCAAGTTTCCATTCAGATTTCATGTTGTTGCTGACTTCACTGAGCTGGAGGTGACTCTGAGCACAAGATCACAACAATCAGTTCATGGCCTGCAAGCACAGGGTGCAGCCACAAGAAATCATCACTTTCATGGTGCAGGATAAGAGCATTAAAATACGTTCAGAAAGCATCTCAGTTTATCATTTGCTCAGTACTGTTGTCCATGGATGAGCACACTGAGCGTTGGTCTAAGTGATGTCAAAAAAGAAAAGTTGCATCAGAATTAACCAACCCAGTGATTCTCTAAGATTGATAATTATTGTAATGAACTCAGCAATTGGCACTACTTCTATTGGCATAAACTGTGCCCAAAATGCCAACTTTATGTCCTAGTGATCAGGTCTCAGAAATGGAAATGGAGGATGGCCAAAATCCACACTTTCTAAGATGGTTTATGTCTTGATATTTTTCCTCAAGTCTAAGAGTTGTACCAGGACACCAAAGAAGTAATGGTCGAACTGCACTGTCATAGGCCACCAGGTCTCTGCTCCTGCCAAGAATCCATAAAAGCAGATCTTGTCTGACAGAGCAGAGGTGAGAAAAGCTGGCTGCTCTCTTGGATATACATTTGTTACTGGTAGGAGGTTGCAAGATGTATTTTACCTCAGACAGAAGCAAAATTTACCTTCTTTTTAAAAAGGATAATGAATAAGAGACCATCACAGAGATCTACTGAAGTTATATATCTGTTTCCATAAAACTAATTAACTTAATGAGCAAACTCTTTGAACCAATATCTAAATGCATTATTGAAGATTTAAACATTCACAAGAAGTTTAGAGACTGTTTCAAACTGCCTAGTATTTGTCAAATTTATTCTTTGAAAATACTGAAGACATTGAAATGTAAAATAGATGCAAAGGCCTCTAAAATTATCAGCTTTTATCACTCCAAAATAACAGGCACATCGATTCCTTAAAAATGTGTTAAATTAAATGTCAAATTTGTTCCTGAACCTGTTGAGTTTCCAATATATGCTCTGATCATGGGCTTGACTATGTCTTCCCACCCATCTTAGAGCATTAATCACTTCTGTTTTCTTACACCTAATATGGATGTTAGCAGAAAGCCTTCTAATCCTTTTGCACTTAGAACCGAGGGGATCTGTAGGTTGTAACAAAAGAGAACAAAACATATTAACATGTATCTGTGTATAAAGACACGTAAAATGCATGCTCCACTTAGCAACAGGAAAGAACCCACCCACCTCAGGTGAATCCTCTTACAATCTGAAGGACTATATTAGGTTTTCCCTTCTTTTCCACCCCACCTTCATATCCAACCCAACTCCTACAGACCTCATTAGGAGAATTGCATATGCAAGCACGAGAGCGAGGGGGACCCTAGGGCTTGACAGCCAGCCGTGGATGGAACCTTTAACTTCACAACAAGCAAACAATGGACTAGTTGCACAATAAGTCTGTGCCAAAGCCTTCCATATTGGCTGCAAAAAACAATTTTAAAATCTTTCATCTGCAGCCACTGTAAAATCATTTTGGGGGTGGGACCGAAAATTTCATCACTGGGGAAAACTGGAACCTAGGCACAGGATTGAAAAAAAAAATTAAGGATCTGCTTCATTACACAAACCAGCGAAAGGGTGAGGTCATGCCTCTGCCGGGCCATAGTTCATGCGACACTACAATTTTCTAGAGATACAATTTCATCGTCATTCTAACTAATTTGCGGTTACTTTTGATACAGAGAAAAGGAAAAGATACAATAGATCAACCCGTGCCCCACCTTTCTCCCTCCGGCCCCCTCCCCCTTTAGAGCCAGGGACACGAATTGTTTCGGAGCCCCACAGCGCCACCAGCACAGAGCAATGCAAAACAAAAAAGATCTCCCACCGGGTGGAAAAAAAAAAAGGAAGAAAAAAAAAAGCGCCTAGAAAAATGCCAAAATTTACAAAATGTCTCCCAAATGTACCTTCTTGGAAGAAAAAGATCAAACAAACCACTCAACCCCCTCCCTCCCCCCCTCCAAAAAAAAAAAAAAAAAAAAAAAAACTTCCTTACTTCCCCCACTTCCTTCCATCCATCCCTTCCTTCCTTCCCCCAGCAAAAAAAAAAAAAAAGAACAAACAACCCAACACCAAGACATCTAAGTGAAGTGCGGGGAAATAAGAACCTTTATATAACTAATGCTTTAAGCTAATTATCACAAGAGCTGGAATATTTAAATAAAAAGGTCACTGTTTAGTAAGAGATATAACTTAATATAAACCCTCTTATGTCCATCTCCACCTTCACCATACCAAGGGCAGTTTTCCCCCTTACTTTAGACCAAAGTAATCCATCAAGAGCCATCACAAATGGCATTGTAAACTCTTTTAGCTACCACCAGACCATACAGTAGCAACACAATATGCTTCTTTATACACGAGAGCTGCATTACATTTATATAGACAGTCACATATTTGCTCCTGGATCCGTTTATTACTCGGTAAAGAATTCCCCCCTGCCCCCCGCCCCAACAAAAAGCCAGAACGAAAAAAAAAAAAATAACCAAGTCCATCTGGAAAATATTTGAGTTCTTATACTCCTAAACTGAAGTTAAATTGTTTTTAATCTTCGCGTGTATAAAATTTTAAAGAGGAAACAAAACTGACTTCAGTAATTGTCGCTATTAAGGAGACACCGTTGGGTGGGATTCACATGAGATCAAAGCTATGAAAAATACAAGATTACGTTTTGTTCATCAACACAACGAAAATCCTCCACAGCACTAATACACGCCAAAAACCCGCAGAAAAGAATATTTTTGGTTAAAACCACAAACTTACCTTCGAAGAAGGCAGCCCTTGCAAAAGGGCTGTAACAATATGGACTGCATACTCGCTCTCCTACAACCAGCCACCTCCATGCTGCAAAGGGCTTCCCGAACATCCTTAAAATATTTCGCAAATGCAGAAAGTGAGACTTTTCTTTTCTTTCCTTTTTTTTTTTTTTTCTTCCCTCCTCCCTCTCTTCTTTCCTCCCCCTCCCCGTCACCCCGCCGGGATCGCCGGGCGAGGAAGGAGGCGGCTTCCCGAGGGTCGGCGGGCGATGCCGGCGGGCGGCCGCAGCCGGGGCGGGGGACCCGGTGCCGCCGGGGTCACAACTTTGCCGGGGCTGGCGTTGGCTCGATGGGCTCGGCGGGCAGCGGCGCCCCCCCCCCCCCCCCCCCCCCCCCCGCCGCCGCCGCCTGGAAAAATGCAGTGTGCCATTTTACACCCGCCTCTGGAGCACACAGGACCAAAGTCTAGCGCTGGTTTTCGGTGACACTGCAAAACTACGGCTCGCCCCGCTCAACCCCACGCCTCATCCTCCCCTCGGAGAGAGCAGCTGCCACTTGAGAATTAATAAAGAAGGACAGTTGGACAAAATAATTCCGAGACTTGGCCGTTTTGCCTCCGTCCCTCCCCCCGCCCCCGCCCCCACTCCGGAGCCCGCAGCAAGTTTGTGCCGCCCGGCGCATCCCTCGGCTCCCCCCGCGGCACCCCCGCACCCCCGCCCGCCGGGCTCCGGCTGCCTCGCAGCATCCGAAAGAGCCAGTCATGCCTGAAACAAAATCCATGATTCCTGGAAAGTGGGCAGCCTTGAATCCCAACAAATACTCGATTTACTTACAATTATAAATACCTACCTTATGAAAGGACTAAATTAACACTAAATTCAACAGATACATCCGTTACGGCAGGAATAGTTTTTCCATAAATACTGTTTTAAAAACCCCTCCTTATACTGACTGACAGAATTCTACCATGCTGCCCACAAACAAAATGGCTGTGGCACCGAGTTTTTTGGTTCCTCCCACTGTGCCTCCCCCTGGCCTCCAGGAAGTGGTAGAAATCCAAAATAAAATCCGCACGAAAAGTACAATACATCAGCCAAACTCCGCACGGCACCGCCAGACAGCATCGGGAGGGGAGCACATTCACCAACATTGTAGTTTCTCGAGGATTTTTATTGTTTTTAAAAGGGCATCAATCACTGGGAATTTACATCACTGTGTAATTTGAACTTCCTGCTTTACATATTTATAAGGTCTTTCACCTATCTTGGCAGGCTTTCAAATTAAGTGGGTTGGGAAATTTGATGCTGTGGCTCTAGTTTGTGAGCTGAGTCAGGTAGTGCCTGCTGGAGCTGGGCGCTGAAACGACGGGCAAATTCTGACACCTTCCCTGTTCAGTGCAAGATAAAATAATCCCCTCGCATATCACAGTCTCGTAAGCCAGCATGCAGGCACCAAGAGGCCCCTGGAATGAGGATTCTCAGCAGAAACTGAAATTTAGGCCTCTTGCACATAAATACACTCTTTGTAATATTTATCATTTTGCATTTGTGGTTCACAGCAGTCTCCCTGAATCATGATCTCTGTGGAAATAATCTTGGATTTTCTCTTATTATGACCCTGTTTAGTGTTGCAGCCCTTTAACTTTTGCGATATTCACCCTAAAAAAAAATAAACAGGAAGATATAGCGTATTTCTATTAGGGATTATGATAAAAATGTCGCTACGTAGTCCTATATCTGAGGCACCAGTCTTGGCAGGCAGTAGCACAACTCCTCTTGCACGCTGCCTCGTGGGCTCCGCAGGGGCTGATTCATTTCCCGTGAGAATCCTTTTCCTGCCTTTAGGAGGAGTTACAATGGAGACAGGCTGTCAGACCTGCCGAGCCTGATCCAGCCCTATATTAAAAGACTTGAATTCATATTCTCACCTACTGCTATCCTAAACCTTTGTCAGAGGCATTGAAAAAACAGAGGAATCGGTGATGTTTTTCCTGAACCACCTCATATTTCTAAGTCTTAGATTAAAAAAATCCCAAACAAACAAACAAACAAACAAAAAGCCACCCAAGAAAACCTGCGTAAAACTTGGGGCAAATTTTCCGTTGGTATAATTTGTTTGTATTATTGTGTTATCTAGCAGCCTTAATCCTGAACTGTGATTAAAATGTTATATTGTATAGGAATATAGGGCAAAAAGATAATTCCTGCCCTGAAGAACTCCAAAGTATAAGACAAAAGACAGCAGATGGCTATGGGCAGATGAGGCAAACAATGAGACTGTATTGATCAGTGGGGAAGGCACAGTTTGCAACACACCATCACTCCAACTCTTGTTTCTGTGTGTACTTCATGATGAAGAAGACATAAGGTGGGATTTGCTGAAAAAAATTAATCAGGTTTTGTGGCTGTTGAAAGAAAACTCCAGCAAGGGGGACAGCATGGAAGAAAGCACAAAGATGTTTGGAAAAGCAGCAGGTGAACTACAGAAACCTAATCAAATTGGCATTAATCTTTGTATAATGACAGAAAATAGATAAGGAGGAAGTAGGCTATTGAAAACATTGAAAATACAGACACAAAGCTTATGTTTGAGACAGAAGAGGCAAGGAAAAGATCCAAAAGGCATGGTACAAAAATCATAAACCAGGCCTGCTAGAAGTAAACAAGCCCTAGGGAAAAAAGCAGACAGTAGTTCACATTGTGTGGACCTGAAGAGATGCAGCAAAGTTTTTTAGGAAAAAAAAAGTGTTTTTCTTAACTATGAGTCTGGGGAGTCTCTGTTGATTGTCTCCACCTTCCTCCTAGATTGTATTTAGTGAATTCTTAAGTCCTGCTCCTGATGGTAGTGTTTAGTGTGTGGACACCTGATTACTAAAGGGTCCCCTCAAAGTTGTTAATAGGAGTGGATAAGGACATAGGAAGGCTGGGACCAAGCTGACCTTGCACATTGGGAAGGTTGTTTCTTCCATCACTTGTTTTTGGAGCAACCTTCATCTGCCAGCAGTGCCCCATGGGTTAGCGAATGTCTTACACCAGTCTGGTTTAGGGCATAGCTACAGCCAGGACAGCAAATCATGCTTTGGATGGGGAATATGTCCTGTAGGCTCAGAGCCCTCTCAGGACACCCTTTACTACGTTGCTGTAGGTTATTAAACATTTTTTCTTTATTTCCCACATTGGCAGTAGTAGTGAGCACATATTTTCATTTATTTGTACTTCTTCTGCACAAACCACCTTAGATAACTTTGCATTTACTAAGAGGCTCTTAAGTCTGTTGGCTAGTTGTGCTACAGCTTGGGGTTAAACACTGCACAGTAAATAACCTCAAATAGGCAAAGCCTTGGTGAACGTCTGGGGAATTATTGTGGCGTGGCAAATGTGAAAGAATTTGGCTGGATTCTTTTGTTGCAGGCTGAACTGAACTGCAACGGTCCCAAACTTCCTTCAGATTTGAAGCTTACTAGTTCTGCAGATAAACTGATGTGTGGTAACTCTTTAAGCTAGGGTCGTTTTCTCTCATGTTAGATCTCATCATCAGTTTTAACTGAAAACAGTGTGTATCAAGTGCTAAATGTTAAGAATTGAGATTGGGATTGAAATACACGTTGTGACTGGTTTTTTAAAATCTGGATGAGTGTTCCAAGAAAACCTGAACCATATGTTCTCGGGCTTTAAGAATAACCCCTACCTGACTTGATGTAAAATTTCCCCAAAACTCTTACAGTTCAGAGTAACTAAAAAGAGCACCATCAGCCATTCTGAACTTTTTTTTTCAGCTTTGTCCACTGCTTGGTGTGAATGTTTGCCTTGAGATTTTGCTCAAAAACAGGGAAATAGAATATCTGTAAAGAAGCAAAGAAAAAAGCTAGCTGCATTTTAGGATTTAGACTAACACAAGAAAAAAAAAAGGCTAAAACCTCATAGCACTCAAATAACAGCTCCTTACTGAAATTAGAGAAACTACTTTTTACATACTGCTTGCAGTATAATTACTTTTATTATTCTTTATCTTTCATTTGCATTAATCTTTATCTTGCCCTTAAAGATTTAACTCTATTGCCATATTTTCCAAGTAGCTCTCTATCTCTACACTTGTAATAAACAAATTGCACTGATCTCCTTTTGACAATATTTTCTTGATGTCTTTAGGAAGGGAATTACCAGTCCTCTTATGTCAGTAAATCATTAGATAGATAGCAAGAGATGGAGGTTATCAAAGGGTTTTGCAACTCACATGTAAATAATCATTTGTTTTCTTTCACAAAAGTGTCATTGAATGTTTTTTGGTTGAAAGATGGCCAAATGCATAAATAGTTTGCATTTTTATTCAATAGATAATGCTCACATAACTGCATAACTGCTCTTGAAGAACCAAAAAAGCTATTTGCTGTAATTTGTAAAATTCATAAATTATAGCACAAGAATGGATTATTGATGCCTGACTGTATTATAAAGGAGGACACAGGCTCCCCTAGCTTAATTCTTGCTTGACCCAGGTCAGATGTTTTTTAAAAAGCCTGCAGTCTTGACTAAAAAATGCATAGTGGTAAAAAAAATCCACAAAATCTTTACTAAATTGCTATGGTGATTGCTTGATTCACTTTAAATCACACACTCTGTTACATATTAAACCTCCTCATTCCATTTCTCTGTCCAAGTCCAGGTTTTGTTTGAGTATATAAGACTCACAAAATGTTACTCTTTGTGAGGGATGTTATGTTATTTTAGTACTTCTCTAGTTTACCAGTAATCTTCATGCCCAATATTCCATGTTCATCAGAGATAAGCACAGTATGCCAACAGCAACGCCTCTATTTGCCAGTACTAAAGAAACTCCTTCCATTTTTATGCATATCCCAACATTTCATTTGCTGTCTTGCAGCATTACCATTACAGATACCTCTTGTTCAGCAAAGCCTCCCGTTAATATCTGTATCCTTTGCAGTAGTCTCTTTTCAGTTGCATCATCTCCCTGCTTCTCTCAATAGGACTTTACATCACTCTCAGGATTTAACTTTCGCCCCTGCACATGGACTGCTCTACTTGGGCCCACCTTAAAAAGCCCATCCAAATTACCTTTTACCAATAACTCATTCACTGCTGCTTTCCTCCCATTCAAACTGTAGCACTGTGAGCACCAGTAAGGATTCCTTTCCATGTTACTCTTACCTTAAGCAGTGTTTTCATTTGTTTCAGACACTGAACTTGTACTGCTGACTTCTTGTCCTTGTGCTGGGACCCTGTATTCAAATGCTTTATGACTGGACCAAGAGGATTTAAAGCCCAGTGTTGTCACAGGTTGGTGTGTCTTTCACTCTTCTCACATCACAAGTCCTGCCAGTGCAGATCTCATGGTTTTAGGATGATGTTTGGTGGCAAAAGGTGTGGAAAAAGCATGAAGTCAATTTAAGTGGAAAAGCAATTTATAACAAAAATGAGTGCAGGTCTTCTGGAAATAAAAACCAGAAATAAACCCCGAGAACATCTGTTGCTATTGGCTGCCAAGGTATGCCACACATCTTGGAGTACAGTTTTTCTCCCCTTCCTGTTTTTTGTGTTGTATATTTGTTGATGGCCTGAAAGCACCTAATCAGATCCCCTGCACAGACTGGTCAGGTCAGAGTCTACACATTTTTATGAATTAACAATCTTTGGTTTTGGAATGTATCTTCTTTTGAATTGCTATAGGACTCAAAAATGCTGACCTTTCAGAATTAAAGCTATGTCCATATGACAAATCCAACATGGTTAAATACTTATTAAAAAATAATTTAGCCACTTCATGTTGGCACAGACACATTTTGAAAAATTCTGCTCTTTTAGTTGTCTAATTGGTTGAAGCTGATGGGGAAATACTGGGTGTGATTTCAGAATAAAGTCAGAAAAAATCTAGAAAAAAAGAAAAGCCCACTGTGAAAGCTTTCCTTTAACTTAGCCAGCTACTTGATTGGTGTTGTTCTGTATACTGTCCCTGTTATGTGCTGATATTTGAA